CATGAGTCAAACAGAAACGAACAAGCAGCATTTTATTGCGCCTCTTGATGCACGGAAGGTGCTTTATTTAGTGCAGTTATATCGATTACTAATGACTTGTTGTAGGCGGTTCGTCTGATGTCATCGGAATCATTTTGAAAATGTCCTACTGCAGCGCTTGTGTTCTAGTGAATTTACCTTAATTTCTGGGTAAGTAGCACACTGTTGTTGATAATGTTGTCGTTTTAAATCTTGTCATACATTGAGCTGTGTATTAAATTGTTATTTGACTTTAGTGTCCCTTTAGCCTGTCCCTAAATTCAAGCTAACGGGTGAGCGTGAACTATCAAGTGTCACAGTGTGCTTTTTACGCAAACATGGTCGCTGCAGCAAGCGAAGTGGCCTTCATGTTCTTTGAAATTTCAACGCTAGCACAAGACGTACAAACCACCCCGAACACGAGATACGCTTGCGCGCTTCGCAACGCACTGAGCTTTAAAGCGCACACTCACGCTCGTCGCGCCATCTCGCTAGCCAAAACGAGCACACGCTGAAGTCACCGAGCTCTGAGTACTACGGACAGTAAATGGTGTATATAAATAGCTCACCGTTAGTACTACGAACAGCATATGGTTTGTGGCCGAGTAGCGTCACACCGCGCGCTGCGGAGCGAGAGGTCGTAGGTTCACTTCCCTCTGACAGAACTTTTACTGTGTTTTGTTTTTCTTTGCCATTTGTCAGTGTATGTTTTGCCGTGACGGAAATTCATGAGTGACGGAAATTCGTGACGGAAATACGTCAGTGGAGCCATCGTGGAGCATGGCATAAAACGCTTTTCTGTTTAAAAAAAGCCACTTTTGTGGCTGTGAAATCTGAGCTAACACTGAAGGTGGACGGCAAATGCCGCAACGTGCATGGTGCAAACGCAAGCTAATTTCTTTCTTCACATTTCCCCATCGTCTTCATTTTTTTCTTTATTTGTTATTTTGATACTTTATACTTTTCTACATCTTACACTTCTTTATTCCCTTCTATGTTGCCCTCTATGTTTACCCCTCCTCCTAGCCTTAACATCACACCGGCTCACCCTTACAATTCTCACTCCCACTCCTTGCTGTCCTATACTATACAAAGCTATAGAATGATTGACCCTCTCTCTCACCCTGATCTTCCTAACTTACACTTCTCTTTCCTGTCCACTTGCCATACTATGATATGCATGGCTCTATGCAATAGCTGCTGCTTAAGGCTACGGATCGTGCATAGCTTTACGATGAAACGCTTCTGTTACATAAAAGCGAGCGTGGCTGACGAAGGTTCATCAATCAAACGATCAAACAGCATTAAATTAGTGAATATGTTTGTGTCTCGTACAGATATCCTATATCAAGTACCTCAAAACACATCTCACTCAATACGTCGTTTCTATACCGTGATATACTTATTCGGGCTAATATAGTGAAACGACAGACGGTCACATAAACTTATACCGCTGTCACATGGTGCACTGGTGATCGCGGTTAAAGCCGACACTGATCAAACTGCTCAACAGTGATTGAACCCGTACTGCAACTTGCCTAAAGGAATCAATCAAAAACGAGAAAATCAATCCGGATCGGGTCCTACGGCGATCAAAAGGACTTATTTAACACCAGTGTCACATGCTTGGGAGCATGTTGGCATGAACGAAAACAGTGGGAAGATTGCAACAATTTCTATGGAATAAACTCCTCAGATACGGCTGATTTGCGAGTATAGAAATCGAGATCAACGAGATGATTGTGTTGAGTAGAACGTTCCGATCTAACTCAAAGCATCATATAATTCTCGAGTAAGGTACACAATGCGCTAATATTCGAAATAGTTTTTCACGCTGTATCAATTTACTTGCGCCATCTCTCGCCGGTACCAATGTTCAATTTCATCGTTACCACTTGTAGCTATATAGAGTCCTACATCGCTGTGTAGTGCTGTATCCTGTATGTTCGTCGTGCCGTTGTCTACACTGTTATCCCGCAATAGCCTACATTCACTTCAGTCAAAAGGGTCTTAGCAAAGTGCGTTGCAAGGTCAGTCGATTAATTATTTCTCGGAAATCGATAGCACTTGATCGAACAAAAGAAAGAAGGCACACAGAAGCAGAGGACAGGCGCTATTCGCAACCAAGCTTTATATCGAAAGGTCTCCTCAATACATGTACAGCTTATCACATTAAAAAGAAAAACTGTGACTGCGTCAGTGACACATCTGTAGAGCTACGCAGTGAAAAAAAAATCTCTTTTATAAACATGGCTATTATAAACGTATCTTGCTATTCCGATCCTGATTAGCGTTGTGGACCGGCACATTCAAAGCACCTGCTCATGGCTGTACGTAAGAGAGACCTTTTGAAATGAAGCACAGTAACGAGTACCACTGTCCTGTGCTTCGCGAATGCCGAAACGTAGTCTGGAAGGATTACTCACACACATAAAGCTTCCTAGATGACAAAAAGTTACTAATAAACCGGAATTAAATTATCACAAGGCTCCCCAGTCACACTGCAGGACTGGGTCACAGCTGGGCTGGTCGACACCCAAACTGACAAAAAAAATATTTTCTTGGCTCAAGTCGGATATCCTAAAAAGTTCGAAAGTCGTCGGAAATGTCCTCTTGAGACAGTACGAATTTCTCAGAGAGCTTTCCAAAGGAAAAAAAAAACTTGTCCCAATCCGGAATAAAGCTTACAAAAAGAGCAATTCACTATACGCAATAACATCGTCATTGTCGGGTATAAATTTACCAAAAAAAGTTTTCTAATGGACAAAAAATTTTCGCGATTTATTTCTCTGAAAAAAAAAACAAACAAAAAAAGCTTCTCAGTCGACGAAATATTTGTCTACGTCCAAGTTTGCTTACATGAACGGGGGAAAAAAATCTCGATTGACGGTATACAGGCGTCCTAGGCTCTCACCCAGGAGCAAAACATGAATGTTTTTTTGTCAGCTAGGGATTTATTTGTTTCTGAGAAATCGGCAAATAAATTTCAGCGTAGTTTCGTGCTGTGAATGGGTGGACCGCAATTTCTCTTCGTAACTCATCTTTTTTTGTCAACTTGCAGGCCTGTATCACAAAAGAATAGCGTGTGACTGCAGTTTATAGGTAAAGCGCTGTCAGCGTCATATGTCCGTCTGTTATTGCTGACCTCCTTTCGCTATTGCACTGTTTACTGTGCGACAAAAAAAACAATTAACGCTAATATTTCGCATGTTTCTGTGAATTAAGAAGTGCGCAGAAAAATTAATGAAGGCTTGCTGTTACTCAGCTGGGAAGAACAAAGATAATGACGTATTGCCGGATAATGTTTGAGTTCTACGTAATGAAGGCACGAACAGATTAAGCGAATAAATGACGGGGACGGCCGCAACGTAAATTGCATGACAACGTCAGTGCAACACGGATGTTTTTCGCGCGTGTTTACTCATTATTAGTGGGGCATTACTTCTTTCTTTCTTTCTTTCTTTTTTTTTCTTTCTTTCTTCCTTTCTTTCTTTCTTTCTTTCTTTCGTTGTTTCTTCCTTGCCAGGGCGCCGTTTGATTTCGGTGCTGTACGAACTAGTCGAAGGACGCAGATGATAAAATCTGAAGAGCGTACTTAACGTATCTACTAAATGTGTGTTGGACAGAAGGCAGTCGTCTGGACACCTTATTTGCGTAATCTTCAAGCACTTGAATTCTCTATAATCCTGGTGCTGAACATATCATTTCAGGAGGCAGCTGGCCAGTGGTGAAGTGTCCTCAGGTGCAGAAAAAAATTTTTGTGAATTAAGCCGCAGTTTTAAAAGACACGGCGCACATGAATTGTAGCACGATAGATTGTTGATTGATATGCAGAGATTAACGTCCCAAAACCACCATATAATTATGAGAGACACCGTAGTGGAGGGCTCCAGAAATTTCGCCCACTTAGGGTTCTTTAACGTGCACCTCATTCTGAGTACACAAGCCTACTGGAGTTTCGCCTCCATGAATACAGCCGCCGCAGCCGGGATTCGATCTCGCGACCTGCGGATCAGCAGCCGAGTGCCTTAGCCACTAGACCACCGCGGCGGAGCGCGATAGGTGTTGTCATTCTCGCTGATACAGGTGCCCGTAGACGTTCTCTAGGCTCCGGCCGAAGTGACGCCCCAGTGCCGTGTGCACGCTGCAATGGCATTCTGCTTTTTTTTTTTTGGCGAGTAAAACAACAGAAATACAGTGATAAACATAAACAATCTGTGTTTAAGGGAAGGAATAAGGCCCCAACGAGACGAACACAACAAGAGACATAAACGACTCGTGGTTCGTATCACGAGACGCCTTACTTTTTCATTTGATGTTGCACTAAGTATACCAATAAAATGTTCTCACTGTTTTACCCTTTATTATTATGTGCATTGATTTTACATCTAAGAGTACGTATTGAATATGACAAGCATGGTACTGCTCAGCAGTATGACGAAGAGGTGTGTCACAATAAGTTTCCAGATGGTACCAGTTAAGTGCCTCATACCAACTGTACCAATCCAATAATCATCGCAAAAGACGACCCCCCCCCCATACACACACTCACACAAAGGGAAAAAAAAGGTGGTATGACTCTGTGTGTGAGCTAGGAAGGCCGCTTGCATAGCAGATACTTTCGACACTTCTCTTACGACGCGCACACAGTGCCAGACAGAGAGCGCACGCTGAACGTATTCCGGTACTGCGCTCACGAACTCACGAACGGCCGGGCCGACAAGGTGTCGCCGCGGCCCGGCGATGCTACCGCCACGTTAACTGACCAATATATAGTGCATACGCCTTATAAGCGTACCTGCCAATTCCGAACCACCAACGCAATATAAATGGCATGCGTTCACGCAGCAGCTGGTGACCTGTTCTAACGAAAAAAAGCCAGCGTGAAAGATGCTTTGCGAGAGACGAAACGATGTTCAGAGTCAATTTTTAGAATACGGCGCTTTGGACAGCTGAGGGGCGATGGCGAGGGAGTCACTCACCGCTTCTTGCCGCAGCGCTCCGTCGAGTTTTCAGAGTAGCAGACGAAGTTGGCATCGTCGGATCTGTCGAAGCTGTCACGTTGGCAGTAAGCATGTCCATCGGGAGGGATCCACAGCGACCAAGCTATCGCGTTGTAGCCGCAGTCCAGAGTCTGCATCCTCAGAATACGACCAAGCACATGCATGAGGCTAAGCAGGTCAATGTTAAGGTGACAATCGAATAAAGTTGATTTGTTCATGAGACACTGTGAACTTAGCACACAGATGCAGACAGCAACATGTACCTCTCGCTTCCATAACGTTTGCGTTAGGGCCATTCCATGCGCTTCCCGCACAGCCGCAACGCACGTGTCGGCGCACTTGCCGCACCGAAGCAGATGGTGAAAAAGCATCGCCAATTGGCTTATTTGTCCCTCGCTTGCGTGCGGCAGGAGTCCCGGCACGTGCGTTGTGGCTGTGCGGGTAGCGCGTGTAAAGGCCATTACGGCTTGTCTGTTGACGTGGCAACATTCGTCATCATTCGGAAGAGCGCCGACACCAAATGCTTCCATAATGTTTTTTTCTAACTCCGTAGAAAAAAAATGTTAATTGGGGACTGCTATGGTGCATGATTAACAAACAGTAATCTTATGTTTCACAGGCTATATCGTTCATCTTACGATTTCGAAAATCTACCAGGAAGATTTAAAACTCCTTGGATGACTCGTTCTTATTACCACATCCCGTGTAAGGCAAGCTGCTCATCACTCCTTCCTCCTCTCTCGACAGCTTCCCGTTGTTTCCTTCACGATTTCTATTTCTCTCGAACGCCTAGCCGTGCCCCTACAGAAGATGCAAAAATAGTGCATTTTCCTCACCTAACTCATTTCCTTCTCCTATCTCATAGTCACCTTTACGACCTCGAAAGAAGCGCTAGTGTGCGGCTCTGTTTTCCTGATGTTTTTTGAGTGAGCGCTGGTGAATGAAGCAACTAGCTTCAATATGAAGCAACTAGCACTGAAGCAACTAGCTTTGGCTAAATTTTCCTGTTGTAGTAAATATGCATTTTTCAGTACCCTTGAGTTTTCCGCGTACACTGACAATCACAATGTCCGGCTCTGTTCTCGAATGTTGTTTGAGTGATAACGACTGGCTTACGCATTTAAGCAAGTGCGGCCCGAATTTCCCCATTGAAATAAATATGCGTTTTTCAGAAGCGTTGGCCTTTGCGCTTACCCTGGCAATCATAACGTTTGGTTGTTTTTTACGCAAAGTTTTGAATTGCAAGGCACAGCCAATAGCGTTAACTTGCTACCATTGACAAGAATTTCAATCTGGCTTCTCTTCGTTGATCTCGCTCTGCAATGTCCTATCATCACCTCTGCCTTTACGTGAAAGTGAGCTACCGTGCATCACACCCTTTAAAAAATCGCAACAAAGAGAAGATGGAAGGAATAATATTGAGGCACACCTGTTTGAGGTCGAAAATAGCGAGTGGCGTGTCCCAGCAGGAATGGTCGTAGCCACCCGAAGCAGGTGACAGAAGTCCACAATAGATGATCACCATAGCGAGTATACAGACAGCCATTCTTGCTAGCACAGCGCTCAGTCCTCGGTATAGTTGTGTCCTAGGGCACTGAAGTGAGACCAGGAGAGGGGGTTGATGGTAACTGCAAACTCATTAGGTCTACAGCGAAGTGAGCGCAGAAAGTAGCTATTGGTGAAAGGTGCAGAGTAAAAGACGTAGCATCATCGGTCTTCGAAAGGTAATAAAGAGTGATGAGGAAGGCTGTTCCAAGATGGTCCTACAACTGAGGAAGCGAGTTTCTTGCAGGGATTTTCTGCACATCTATGAGATTTAAAGCTTTTCTTCTGCTTCTTCGCTGTTCAACCCTTCTTTTCCATCGTCTGGCTACATATCACGCCTCAGAAATGGGAAATCTGGCTTCCCTTCTCCTCGCAAAAACTACGCCGATTTTGTTTGCTGGGCACAGCGTTTAGAGGAAAGTGCTAGTGTTTCTTTCTTGCGTTCTTTTATTTCTTTTTGCTAGTATTGTGCACAACAGCTCAAAAACTGTAAAAAACGTAGATTTCACCTTGATCCTTCAGGACGGCATGTGCGCATCTTTTTTCCTTGGCACGTGACTAGAATGACATTCTAGGAATTATGATTCCTGGTTCTTTAATCAGAATTACCATCACTACCTTTTCTGGTCCATGAAGACTGTCTTTAGCGTATCTCTCCACACACAAGACATCACGTTAAAACTCAAGAACTAGAATACAGACACACGGACAGCTTGTGACACGAAGGCTACTTTGTGGTTCGACAGTTCCAGAGCCTCCGAAAACGTGGCTCACAGGGATGTTGCCGAAAACCTCCAACACTGACGAGCAGTTACTCAAGCCTCCAGCTACACTCTGAAACTCCGCATAGAAAAAAAATTATGAGATCCCATTATTGTGTTCAGAGCCTGTGGAAAACATACTTGTGCTTCGAGTGTACCCACAGTACCACCTCTAGTCGGACAACTCGAAGCTCACTTTGTATGCCGAATCAACACTGAAAAGTATTGATCACGCTCTGGGTGGTTTGAACTCTGAGCCTTAAGACCTGAGGCCCAATGCTCTACAACTACGGGCGCATGCATCAACGAGAGAAGTACAACTCCTTTATCAAATTGCTCCACGTACAAGCAAGTGTCTTCAGACACTGATAGGGTCTCTCACAAGGCTTATGGCTTCCTTATAAGCTTCCATCTTGCAAGTGAGCGCTTCGGAACGCTTTCACGATGCTGATGGAATGCACTCGGGTCGTCGCTATGCCAGCTGTCCCCTCCAGGCGCCAAATATGATGCGAATTCGTCAAATTCACATAGCATAATTCCAACGCACTCCTAATTACATTCCAAAAAAGAAAAGCAATAAGTCGTTTTGTGGGAGTATCAGTCAGCAATTTTAATTACCATGTAATAAATATATTTTATGTTTCTTCAGTCAATCCCGTTATATTTCATGACATGAAAAGAATGAAGTCAAAGCCATTTAAATGCGTGTGGAAGTAGTTTTCGGCTGCACTTATTTGTGAAAAATAAACGTAGTACTCTTGACTTTGGTCGTGAAGCGGGGCACGCCGAATGACCCATCGAACATCGTAGTAACTTCACCAAAGTGGTCGATTACAGTCATACGCAGCGCACTAAAGTTAAGCCAAAGATACTGACCACGGAGAAGGTCAAATTCATCCAATGAGCAATGTATTTCGCACTCTTCTTGTTACAAGGTTGACACAACTATAGCACATAGCACAAAAAAGTCGTGTACACAAAGAAAAACACTGCTGTTGAAAGGGCTATTTACCCCTGTTTACATTATTAATGAACAGCAGTCGATTTTCCGTCGTGATTTCTTTCCTAAGGCTGTAGCCAAATGCAATTAGTCACTTAGCGGGCCTTCCAAAGGTGCCCATTGGTACAGAAAGTTGCTAACTTACGTAGCACTGAAGGGCTCACTGGAGCCGTTGCTGCTGTCTCCGCAGTCGCACTCTGGCGAGCTCTGGCGTATGACGGGCTGCTTCGTTGATGAAGGAAACTTAAAGACGGCTCTGGAACTCCTACCGGTGCCCTTACGGAAGGAGGTCGCCAGGGGTGAAGTGGTGGTTATGGTTAAGAAAAGAGAAAAATGGCTGCTTTCTGCCCCCCGTGAGGGAGCACTGCTTGTGGCCACCGGGAAGGGAGTAGGAGAACAATAGAACGGGAGAGAGCGAAATTTAGAGACGCCCCTGCGCAATTCTCAGGAAATGATAGCCCGCCAGGTAGAATTTCGCACTCACTTCTATCAAGCAGCCTTTGCGGCCCATAAAGAGAGTGAGAGTCCAAAAAGTTTTAATGGGCGTCGTTGTGTTTGTTGTACGTATATATTTTGGTGTCAAGCGCGTGGCCATCGTGAATGTGCCATCGAGAGAGAAATAATGTGGTCTTTCAAGAAGGCGGTTTGACAATAACAGCCTGCGCGGGCGAGCGACCTGACATTAGAAGGCGTCTGAAAAGGAAGAGCAGCACATGAAGACATGGGCTTGCCCGGCCTTGCCCGCCACCTTAATAGCGGAACATGACGGGGCGCCTGCACGGGCGTCATACAACTTGGGTCGTTAGACAGTATGCCGGTTGCTACACTTCACGGAAGTCAACAGCTTTTCCTACGTCACATTTGCCACGCTCACTTTCCTTTTTAAGCAACCGTACGTTTCACATCACTTTGTTCGTCATACTGGCGCAATGTGTTTACAAATGCAGTTATTATTTATTGCGCGTACGACCGTATCAGCTATATTGCTTGCAATATATCAGTCGGCTATACGCTGTATTTGCGGTAACGCAGGCTACAAGGTTTAATCAGGGAGGAGTGAACTTTTGCCCGTATTCGCAAAAATTCCTTACGATAAAAAATTTCGTAACGAAATATTTGGGCCAATCACGATGCAGAATATGTCATTACAGAGGCCGGCTGACCAATGGGAAAAGGTATTTAGAAATGGAAAGTTTTGTGAATTCACCCTCTTATCTCAGATACATGTTACCCGGAATCGTTTATTCTTACGTTCAAGATATCCAGTTTAAACATCTATTTAGCTAGACGTTGACATTCTGACACGGGCATTTCGGGCAATGACCACTAGTTATCTTCCGAAGATGTCAGCGCCGTCAGCGGCCCCTGAAGTATCTGGAAGTCTTCGAACTTTCTCAAAACTCTGTAGGACGTCAGCACACATGTGAAACGCTACACACTGCAATGTGATTTCCATTGCACTAACTTTTCTTTCTTAAAGCTTGACCTGCTTCGAATGGATCCAGACCACTTCTCAAGAGCTTAGTAAACATACCGGCAAGCGGGAGTGCACCCCGATCAATTAATCACAACCCGTTCTTGTGTGCTAGTTTTGAGTTCATATTGTCAAGCGTATTATTTTATTAGATTTCGTTTGGAAAATGTCAACAAATATGTTAGCATAAGGTCTCTTACAGCCACTGAGGGCACAATTTCACGAAATCATTTCGCGTCGCATTTCCCTGCTGCATTAAACACACCAAGTGGGGCAGCACGCGTACGCAAGCGCCCAACTTCGCGCGTCTGTGGCCGTCCCCGTGTGTGACAATGTTGGTGCGATTTCTGTTGTTCGGTCGCGCGAACGTTCTTTCCGCAGAAACCGAAACTATGCCTCCTAGTGTCTTGTTGCACCGCGTTGCCCGATCGCGCCCGCGGTCGGTTTCTTTTTTCGGTTCCTCGTTCTCAAGTACCCTTCCTTCTGTCCCTTCCAAACACAAACACACTCTAAGGCACTCTGGTTTACTCTGCCTAGACGTAACGGCCGCCGCTAAGCAGCCTTCCGGCGGGCAAATGAATCAGACCTCGCATCAGTGTTCGTCACAACGCTACAAGTACACCCAAGATGGGAGATAGCGTTATCAATGCAGGCCCTTGAAACTATACGTATAAACTCGCCGCCGGCGTGGACATCCCGTCGCATTCACTTCGTTTCCTTGGCGGCAACGGAACGCAGAGGTCCGCTCTGAGTACAGACGTATGACCGCTTCGCTAAACCAGCGAAATATGTATCTCTCGACGTTCCTTGTCTTCATTTCACTGCTGTCGTTATCCGTGAGCGGTGAGTTTACTTTGCAGCAATTGTACTACACTTTTGTTTCAAAGGTTTCATCTTCTGCTTCCCTCGCTTCAGAGATGCTTCCCTCGCTTCAGAGGTGTCACTTGCGGGAAGGCTGGAGGGTGAGCAAGGAAGTTAAACTTGTGTGACCGAACTTGAGTGGCCGACACACCTGTCTCGCGTCGTACCAGCTGCATTCTAGAGATGCAGCGGTCCTTGCACATATATCTGCGACCGCATTTACGGAGACTGTCGGAAGCACTCTGAATCGTCGCTTCAAAGGCGAAGTGACAACCTGGAAATCTCCGGACAGTCGGTTAATCTTTTATTATTGTGCTCGCGCAGAGCTTCAATACTGTATTCAGTATTTTTCGGTTTTCAGAGTGACGCAGTCGCAGTTGACTCGTAGAGTTGATTCACATAACACTGCAGTCGCATGCCATTCGCGACTGAGTTTTCTGCAGGCTGGCCTGCTGCTATCAAAAGCGCCATTTGATCCCATCGTTTGCACTCTTCGATGCATGCACATGCATTTCTTTTTGTATGTGTATAGATGCACAGATTTCACTCATTGATATATATAAAGGGCGAGGGACATCCCTACCTCCCCTCCCCTGCCTTGGCTATGTTCCTGAAAAGCAAGCTCTACCAATGACCACCGCATACGTTTGTTTTTTCGTTCGAGCTTAGAGTGTAAAGTCCACGATAGAAAACCCGCGCCGTTTTATGTAAAAACCAGTACGAAAACTCGTATGGACGGACATAAGGATAAGCACGAACCATAGCAATTGTTCACTATACTAAACGTGCTGAAAACGCCGCTGTTCTCCTTTTGTTTCGTAACACACGCCATCATCTGTCCTTCACACTAATGAAAACACTGAGAACGCAAATGTTGGTCTTTGCTTTGTTTAACAACCACGTAGTTCATAACCCTGTCATTCTAAGGGTAATTACTGTTCATATCACGCCATGTTTCCTCGGTTGGTTCACTTGATGCCAAGCCTAGAATGTTTCATCAACAGGGCCTCATCAAGTTGAGGCCCATGGAACGGCTTTATGCTCTCCATTAGTGGAGTGCATAGTACTCTAAACTGTTACCCACTTTCTTCTCAACACACATATTACCGCTCTCTTGACAAATTAGGCCTTATATTACAAATAAAATAATTTGGTAGCGTTCTGCCCACTTGTCTTGCTCCTCATCTCGCCACTTCAGTTTGAACCTTTGAGGATGAACAACCTACCTGTTTTTATGTGCCAAAACACGGAATATCGGTGCTGCTGACGTTTTGTAAAGGGTATTTCCAAGACAGTGACTGTCATAGTAGCGTAGGCAATTTCTCTCCCGAAGAAAACAAGTCCTTGTTCACTGCTTCTAACCTTTCGTTTTCCCCTAGCCAACTACTTTTCTCGGCCTCTCTTTTAATAACCTCGGGCTAGTGAAGCGTGTTCGTACTGAATAACAGTTCGGAGATTTTGTGTCGGTATCTATTTGCGTGACATAGGTGGTACCCCCGAGGCATTGTATTTCCCGTGGCATGGCTCTTTCTGGTATTCGTTAATCTAAATCTTATTTCTTAGCAAGGGCATACCTCAACACCCCTTCGAAACTTTCATAAGTGCAGTTCGAATAGGCATTAGTAGTTCGATTATAAGACAGGAATTGATGAGATTTTCTCACCAACACTCTCGGGCCGATACATCCTGTGCCGGAACTCAGTGTTTCCAAACAAGGATAAGCGCCATTTAGTCCCCTACATTGCAATCTTGTTTTGTGTGTGTGTGTGTGTGTGTGTGTGTGTGTGTGTGTGTGTGTGTGTGTGTGTGTGTGTGTGTGTGTGTGTGTGTGTGTGTGTGTGTGTGTGTGTGTGTGTGTGTGTGTGTGTGTGTGTGTGTCACCACAATTAGTAAACCAATTTTAGTCTTACTGAACTTCGACGTGCACTTTGAGGCGTTAAACCTATATAACTCTCTCAATATAATTTTCGCCCGTAAAGCAGCACAATTTTTTTGCAACATTCAGAAGTCTTTTACTCATGCCGTTTCGGTACGCTGAACAGCTCGTTTCATTTTCTTCCTCGTTTTATTTTTTTTTTCTTTGCAGAGACCTGCAATCTACGCTGAGTCGGTTTTCGACAGAGGCCTGAGAAAGCTGCTTGACTCAGATCGCTTTTTCAAGATAGATTTGCCCGACTTCCTGCAGAACATAGGTTACAACCTTTTAAACGTGAGAGTGGGCTTCTCTGATGGCACGCTTCGCGGCATCAGCACCATTCGAAGGAGAGGAAAAGGCACGTTGCAAGTGGACGAGTCCGGCAACAGCCGCCTGACTTTTCACGTAGCGGGAGGGCCCCTGGAGGCTGACTACGCTGCAGGAATCCGAGCGTGGTTCTTACGGACAACACTAGATGTGCGCGTACGCGTGCCACGTTTCCAGGCATCGTTCACCATCCAAGAGTAAGTAAGTTGCGCCTTAAACGCGAACCGACTGACCCGTGATTCGGGGTTATAAGAGTGACTAAGTGTGCTGAGCTATAGAAGTCGCAGTTTCACCACAAAGTTGAAACAACAATTACGTCAACAACAAACTGAAATGGTACACGAACTAAACCTAAGAGCTATAGAAGTCGCAGTTTCACCACAAAGGTGAAGCAATAATTGCGTCAACAACAAATTGAAATGGTACACGAACTAAGACCAAGAGCTATAGAAGTGGCAGTTTCACCACAAAGGTGAAGCAATAATTGTGTCAACCACAAATTGAAATAGTACACGAACTAAGGCTGAAAGCTATAGAAGTCGCAGTTTCACCACAAAGGTGAAGCAATAATTGCGTCAACAACAAATTGAAATGGTACACGAACTAAAGCTAGAAGTCGCAGTTTCACCACAAAGGAGAAGCAATAATTGCGTTAACAACAAATTGAAATGGTACACGAACTAAGGCTAATTCCCGTATGCTAGAACGTCCCTTCACTCCACGTTTCACCTTCACTTGATGGATGGATGGATGGATGAATGAGGCTGTACCCTTTAGATCGGGCGGCGGCTAACGCCACCTAGCCGTAATACTTAGTGAACTAACCATTACATTTATCTTTTTTTTTCCTTTAAATAATGAAGTTGAGGATTCGTACTTCGCAGTGAAGGGTTTAATTTTCACTCGTGCCTTGACTTTAGCCACCAATCAGATAACCTCCTTCTAGTTAAGTCTACCCGCTTAAAGTCTATTTTGCCCTCGCTGTCCCTCGCAAATCCCAGTGCTTTGAAAAACTCTGCGCCATTATCCTGAACTATAGGGTGAAGCCCTTTACAGAACATTATCAAGTGTTCGGCAGTTTTTTCTTCCTCTCCACACGCACTGCATACTGTGTCGACCCCTTCGTATTTGGCCCGATATGTCTTGGTTCGCAGTACTCCCGTCCTGGCCTCAAACAGTAGAGAACTACCCCGAGTATTATCATAGATCCTTTCCTTGGCAATTTCCTGCTTAAAAGTTCGATAGATCTCTAGTGCGGACTTCTTAATCATGCCCATTCTCCACATGTCAGTCTCCGTTTCCTTCACTTTTTTCTTAACCGATAGTTCTTCTTGGTTTGGCCACCTGCTGTTTTCTAAGTATTTACCAGTCAACTTCTTGGTTCGCTTCCTTCATTTTGTATCGACATTCTTCATGTACAAGTAGCTGAAAACCTTCCTAGCCCAACGCTCTTCCCCCATTTCTCTCAATCGCTTCTCAAATTTTATCTTGCTGCTAGCTTCCCTGCCCTCAGATGATGTCCATCCCATATCACCTTGTACCCCCTGATCTGGTGTATTCCCGTGAGCTCCTAAAGCAAGCCTACCTATTCCACGTTGCTTAATTTCTAATCTTGCTTGAACTTCTGATCTCATGCACAAGACCGCATTGCTGAACGTCAGCCCAGGAACCATGACCCCTTTCCATATTCCTCTCACAACATCATACCTATTGTAATTCCACAGTGCCCTATTTTTCATGACTGCTGCATTCCTGTTACCTTTAGTCGTCACGTATATTTCGTGTTCCCTCAGATACTCGGTCCCATTGCTTATCCATACGCCCAGATATTTGTATTTATCTGTTATCTCTAGCGTGACCTCCTGTATTCTAAGCTCACTACCTTCGTTGTCATTGAAAATCATGACTGCTGATTTTTCCCTACTGAATCTAAAATCTAACCTATCTCCCTCATTACCGCAGATGTCCATCAATCTCTGCAAATCTTCCTTGTTGTTGGCCATTAGCACTATATCATCTGCGTACATTAATGCTGGTAGTGCCTGATCAATAAGTTTTCCTTGTTTGACTAAAGAGAGGTTGAAGCCCAGTCCACTTCCCTCTAATTTTGCCTCTAATCCTTGTAGGTACATCATGAATAATAAGGGTGACAGGGGGCACCCCTGCCTAAGACCCCGTTTTACCTCTGCAGGCTTGGATACCTGTTTTGCCCACTTTATAACTACCTTGTTACCTTTATAGACACCCTTTAAAAGATTAGTGACTACATGTTCCACGCCTAGTGTGTCCAGTATTCCCCACAATTCCTCTTGAACCACGCTATCGTACGCTCCCTTGATATCCAAAAATGCTAGCCACAGGGGCCTGTGTTCTTTTTCTGCTATTTCGATGCACTGCGTCAGTGAGAACAGATTGTCTTCCAAACTCCTGTGTTTCCGAAACCCATTCTGCAGTTCCCCCAGCGCCCCCTCATCCTCTATCCACGCCTGCAGTCTTTCCTTTATAATCTGCATCGCGAGCCTGTAGACCACTGATGTCACTGTTATAGGACGGTAGTTGTTTATGTCAGCTTTGTCCCCCTTTCCTTTATAGATCATGCTCATCCTGCTAAGTTTCCATCCATCAGGAACTTCACCATCGATTATTATTGTACTCACTGCCTCTCTGAGAAAGTCGATGGAAGCGCCCTCTCTAGGCATGGCAAGTTACTGCATATTAACAATAACGTGGTGCGATTCTCGAGCAGCGCAGCGTCATTTTCAGCCAAGTAGCGGCGCAGTGCTCAACTCTGTCAAGTGAAGGGTGAAAGTCGAGTCGAGGAGCGTTTGTGAATACGGGGGTAAGACTTTTAGCATATGATCTAGCGTAAGTCAACAATAAATACGGTGGCTTAAGAAAATGCTGCCGCGAGCAAAGCGACCTACTGTCTGTCTATCGCTTCACCGCAAAATGCGAGTTGAGGGTATGGTACGTACGAAAGTAAGAGTCGTCTGTTGATCCCCGTCAAGACATCATGCGCACGACCACGTCCGAACTGTCAAAGTAAGCACTTGCTGCCGATGGCGCGCAGCCCATGGGTCATGAGTAACGCACATATCTTGTCAATATTTCCGTCGACTCGGAATAAAAAGAAATGGCACGTGTCGAGAAAGTGAGTACTTCTACAAATGAAGCTGCATTTTCAGGTTGAACAAGCGCACATATTATAGAGTGTGAACGGAACAGAACGCAAGACAAGCTTTACTCTGCAGTATTGTATAATAGCGCTTTATTAGCAAAGCAAGTGACGGGCCTCTTCTTGCGTGTGCAACGAACTTGCACGTATGTATATATATATATATATATATATATATATATATATATATATATATATATATATATATATATATATATATATATATATATATATATATATATATATATATATAATATATCTGTGCGTGTGTGTGTTTGTTTGTTTGTTTTCCTGCTTAATTGTAACAATTTTTACCAAGGAAGTTGTTTCTCTGAATGATTCCAGGTCATCGCCAAACGACCTTAGCGTCGAAGTGCACGGAGTGAGGATGTCTAAAGGTAGCCTGATATTCGACGAAGACGACATCGGTTTGGAAGGCCCCATTTACGACATCGTGTTCGAAGAATTCAGACCTTTAATTCAGCAAAAGGTTGGCGAAGCCCTGGTTAGGGAGCTTCGAAAATTGGCCGAGGAGACACTCGGAGCGGTCAAGCTGTACGCCGTGTCTAACGCGGAGCGCGCTGTTCGCGGAGAAGGTAAGATGATTGTAGACGTAAGCGAAAACGATGTGCACGTACATAGATTTTTGACCAAGTCTAAGATTCGCACATTCTAGTGTCATTAGCTACTAACTGTCGCATAAACGTTTCTGGGAGGCCATGTGCTCTGTAGGTGGAGCTATCCAGATGGGAGAACGGGTGAGGACCAGTTGAGACGCGCGAACTGCCACTATATGGTTGTAGAAATGCGCCATTTTTCTCTTCCCATTCATGTGGCGATCGTGACTGGACATTCATCTCAAATAACTAGCACCAAACTGCGGGCCGTACATGCGGATGGTATAGTTGCAACCAGCAACTGAAACGCCGATCGGAACATCTGGAAAGATGATTCAATGAGAGGAAAGTCCCTTGCGGGGAAAAAAAAACAAGACTTTAGTACAGGTGATATCACTTATGCGTTCCTTTTCTGCAATTTGCTCCGCACGACAAGTTTTGCAACTTTTTTATGGTTAGCGACAGGGCTCTTTTTATTATTTTTTTAAAGCGCGAGACTCTTAAATATCCAGGGAAAATACCCGTCGTCTTCAAAAAATTTGGGGACCCTTAAGGTTCGACTTTAACAGTTGAACGCGATAGCGAAATCCAGCCCCTAGTGCACCCTTCAACCGCTAATTGAATACTTATTATGTTTTGTTACACACACACACACGCACACAAACGCACTCGCACGCAAGCGCGATGTATCTATAGTAATGCAGTGACTTGCAGTGTGTTCCCTTCCCTCTGCTAGAACGGCACTCTGCTGTAGTCGAGACATGTTTTTCACAGTGTCTCACAGATTGGACACAGGCACACACACGGGTGCGTGCGTGAATGGTACATACAGGTTTTTGATCTAACGCAACAGTCGCATGGCCTCTAAGATACACGCCGCGCGCTCGCCAACTCAGAGGCCATTTTGAGTCTCACAATGCCTCACAGATGGTAGCACATTATCTATAGCGTTTGCTGTTCGGTTGATGAACGCCTCTAGAAAGGCATGACGTGTTTTCCGTTCGATGGACATGGTTGTCCATTTTTAGAGCTGTTTAAAAGTTTCTGCGCGTTTTTAGCAGTGGTGGCTGCAATATCCCGGCTTTTTTCGACGTAGTTTGATAGCCTCCCAAATGCGCCTACAAATCGCCGAATGGGCTCGTTTTCTTTGTGACACCTGTCGAACAAAATGCGTTGAGGAGACTCCTTCCACTACATGGCATTTATGTAGTGTTTTTTCCCCGAAGCAGCTGCAAGTAACGTCGTAGCTTTGTGGTAGGACACCTGCTTGCCACGTGAACAGCCTGGGATCAATCCTCAATGGGACAGAAAATTTTATTGTTTATTTTATTTGCTTATTTCTCGATTTTTCGCTTAACAAACAATTTTTCGCGCACAACCAACAGTGCTAACGCTGACGGCGGCATTTCTGCGACGCGAGCTCTCTAACGGCATCGCGTTAGGAACCTCTCCGTGCAATTCAGTTTGCCACTAAATCACGCCCACCACTAAGCCACGCCCACCTACAGAGACAGAATGCGCCGAGTTTGCTCGGCGTGGCGCAAGCCAAGTACAAGGGACGAAATGCCCACGCGTTTACGTATACCACCGGCGTGCCAGAGCCATGTTTGCACGCTAGATTCCGGCGCTAGTTCAGTCATTCTTACAAGGTGTGGAACAGGCTGTGGTTCGGCTCTATCTACTCAGTCTACGCCAAGGAAAGACCTATAGCATCAGTCATAAAAGTCACGTTAAGCCCCGAAGGTTGATCAACTTCTCTGTTTCTTAAGTTGTATGCTCAGCTAATGTAAACTTCACTGTTTTATTCATTGCCAGGAAATCCTCCTACAATATTGCCAGAAGCAATATTATAGGAGTGCTCATGTTCAAGGTCACACGTGAAATGACTTTTAACACCGCAAAGGCTTTAGTTCTAGAACACATAGAACGACACGTAGACAGTCCAGAAGGCCCATGATGTTTTTGTAGGCCTAGGCCAGCCAGTCCCATCATGGGTCAAGCCATCTGGTCATCCCATGTCCTTCCATGTATGAGCTATTTGAAACCGAAATAACGTGCTTGTAATGTCATGTCATGTCATGCCATGCCATGCCATTTTGTGTATGTGCCATGCACCAATGATCACTGTAAAAGGTGAAGTGAATGTGCCCACCACTCGGGTTGCACACGTGCACGAGATGACGCACTTTGCACACGTCGAAAACAAGCGGGGTCTCATTAAAACAGCCACGTAAACAATAAACTAGGGCATGTCTTGACTATTGCGTGACTCTTACATTAGCTAAAGAAGCAACGCCGCAGTAATATTGAAGAAACACTTTCAGTATAATCTATGGACATTAATGTTCCTTATTGTGGACGTTAATTAACGTTGTGTAATGCTGATTAATGCTCACCGATGACAGCCCCTGTACCAGATGGAATTACGCATTTGATGTTGAATGTTTTACTTGAAGAATCGCCTAACACTTCTTTAGATAATGTGAATTACTCATAGAAGAACTCGTGGATATCGCTGGAATGAAAACTGGCTGAAATTATATTTCTGCTGAAGAAACAGGACGGTGGGTGAATATTAGAACAGATAAGTTCAATCGCCTTGACGTCAAATATGGTGAAATTGATTGAGAGAGTTATACATACTCGAATCAATAGATTTATTGACGAGAGGTTTATTCCAAGTCCCTGTCAAGTCGAATTCAGGGCTGTGTGTTCAGAATAGAACGCTTATATTGATTCATAAAGTCGTATACAGTTAGCACGACAGCACAAGTATGCGGCTGTAGTTACTTTGGAAATCACTAAAGCATACGATACAGCAGAGCACAGTATTCTGATATATCGATTGCAATCCCTTAATTTTCCGGCATACTTAGTAACGTGGACTCACAAATGTTTTGTAGAAAGGAAGTTTTACTGTTTTAAAGGCGGCTTTTCATCGACAATTCACCCGCAAACGAGAGGATGATCTGTGGGTTTTAACGTCCCAAAACCACCATATGATTATGAGAGACGCCGTAGTGGAGGGCTCCGGAAATTTCGACCACCTGGGGTTCTTTAACGTGCACTGAAATCTGAGCACACGGGCCTACAACATTTCCGCCTCCATCGGAAATGCAGCCGCCGCAGCCAGGATTCGATCCCGCGACCTGCGGGTCAGCAGCCGAGTACCTTAGCCACTAGACTACCGCGGCAGGGCCAAACGAGAGGAGTACCGCAAGGCTCAGTGTTCTCACCGGTGCTATTGAATGTGCTAATGAGCCCCATTTCACGTAACCAGAAAATCACAACTTATGTGCATGCTGATGATGCAACGGCAGACAACATTAAGACCTTATATGAACGGCTTCAGTCTTATCTTGACACACTGGAGAACTGGCTTGATGAATACCAGTAAATGTGCCCTTCTTGTCTTCCCCTTGAAATACCCCGTGTATATCTCATTATGTTACCATTCTGAGGACATACCCCAGATGAAATCTATTAAATACCTTGGGGTAATTTATAATGCACTGTTTTGGCGACAACACATCGAATACACAGCTGGAAAAGGTAAATGAGCCGTATAGGCACGTTGCGTATAATAAGCAACTACCGAACAGGCATGAGAAAAGATACACTAGTAATGATATATCGAATGTACGTACGTTCGTCCTATTGTGGAATTTGGATGCATGCCTTTCTCTGACGCTGCAGCCTACAAAACCCGGCCTTTAATTTTTTTAGAAAGAGAGTCGGTACACGCTTATACCTTGGCCTTCCTAAAATGGTTGCTAACTGCATTTTATACCTAGAATCAAGAGTTATTTCTCTTTCTTGTAGGTTTCGTATCTCGACCGTTCAGACGTTTTTAAGAATTTATGAGTCACCAGAGCAGTCGGAGACAGCATTTATATTCTCTCCGAAATTATTTGTCAGTGTTAGATGCCACAACTTCCCACCCCAAAAATTAAACTTGTAGAACATTTACTGGACCCCCTGGGGGTACGTATCTGTGCGATAACACCAACTAGCGGTAATTCACACAATGTGGCTATCCAATTTGACGACATTTTTCTTAATAATGCAAAGTTACTCCCCTCTCACATTCTAGATGGTTTATTACAGGAACACTCACTTGCAGAGCGTCAAAACAAGCTTAGCTATTTCTACGCATGCACCACAGTGCGACGAAAAGTCAAATGTTGGTATATTTAGCCCGAACTTGAATTGATCCTATTTCCTTCAACGACCTGATTTAATACCTCTTTTTGTGGCAAAGTTTCTGGCATGTGGTACTCGCGTTACGAAACTTAAACACGGAAATCACATCGGCTGTTGGAACTACGCATTCTGTCTCTTTGCACTGCATTTTCTGTTGGTGCTGACCCGCACATAATAAAGGCGTTTCGTGCACTATTATTACCTCCGCAACAGAGAAAAGTTATACATGTTTGGGTGCCTGGTCATAAAAGGCTACTCCCAAACGAAATGCCAATTCTTTAGCGATGTCATGAAAAAGTCGGCCAATTTTACTATCATTCCCACCTTCCGATGACGTGACAGCTGCATAATTTTGCAGGCGTAACAATATGGAAAGTTTTGCAAGTATATGACTCAGAAATTCTACAAAATATCAGCCCTTATTACATCCCTGGCACCGATCATTTTGCGAAACACGTAAATTAGAAGTCGCAATTACGAGGCTGCGCTGCAGGGTGCCGAAGCTAAATTTCTACCACCACCTGCAGGTCCACTCAGGCTCTTTCTTCCATGTGCGCTTTCTGTGGCAAGCTATATACGGTAAATAATTAATTTTTTACCTGGAGGTGATTTACTACAGCTCGTAGATCCAAGTTAAAAATCCTTTACTCTACTGTATTGGAATGAATATATTCATGCCCGTAACTGTCTTATGAAGCCTCTGTTTCTGGGTTTGCCTGTGCGATATTTTGCGGGACTGTGCGGTATTAAATGAATGAAACCAAGAGACCAACAAACTAATCTATATTATTATCTCTCTGCGTCAACATATGCATAACTTTTCTTATTTATTTATGTTTTTTTACTTAGGTTTGTGATTTAATTTGTTTCCTTTTACTGATAAGGAAGCTTTAGAGTCAGTACAATTGAGTTAGCATCAAAATTTATTTCCAAAATTTTTAACGTTTTCATTTTTTATTCTCTATTACTCTAAAAATGAATAACATTTCATAATACCACTCGATTCTCGGTCGATTCCCCCACAGTGGGTAAGAGCGACAAAAGAAGGTGAACAAGAACGAGAACAAGCGCGTTCCTGACTACACATTCTTTTCTGCCATCACGGCACAGCACATGCAAGATAATGCTATTTGCTATGACGATGACGCTGAAGAGGATGATCATGATCACCGACAACGACTGGCTTGTAAAGCAAATGACGTCTCGGCATACTCTACGATGCATTTCATATGACGTGAAACAACCAACAACCACCAAGAGAATGTGCACAGACGTCATATTTGCCACCTTCAGGCTAGATTCGGTACCACAAATGAGTAGCAATGAAAGCAAAACAAAATTCACAAGTCAACACAGCCTACCAGTTATGAAAAACAAAAATTGCACATAACTGTACACAACTTTGTCACTTATTTACATGCATGAGTGGTGAACGAGCGATTTACGGTAACACCAAGTGGTCCCACTGCTTCGCCCACTTATTTTATTCATTTGGTGAATGTGCTGTGATTTTTTTTCAGGAGTCTGTGTATGTAACTCCGCTGTCGACTATTATTATGTACATACTATAGTGCCTATTAAAAACAACAAGTATGTATTGTCATGTTTTCAATCAACACTCTCATTTGTAACGCCTTCGAGTATTCAACGTATTGAAATAAATGAAACAAACGAAGTCAGGGCATTCGTAATACAAATCCAAATCTTTACCACATGGAGGCTTTTTATGCTTACAGCTAGTATAAGCAACGAAGCGTTGGAAGCTGCATGTTAAAAATAGTGAGTGTATAGCTTTCCATGAACTATTAAAGGTAGTGTTCAATTACGTTGAATAAAAAGTTTTACTTGTTGCCGTCACGATAAATCAGTCTTTATCTCAGTTGTTATCTCAGTCGTTATCATCAGTAGCTATCTCGATTAAGCTTTCCTCGCATTTGGTGTTGTTTTTTCTATTCAGATTCGTTGGCCCTTCGAGCATGGAAACATGGTTTTAATGCTGCCACGAGCCTTTCAGCACTCATTGAGGGTGGCCGTTCGCATCGACGTCGCACCAACGCACACTCAGGGTCAACCAGCACAAGAGGGCAGCGCTTGGATTCTTACAGAGTGCGTCGGCAACGCCAGATGAGGCGTCTTCGAACGCTGCCTTAGAACGCTCGTTGTGTCGACGGGATTCGATCCGGCGACATTACCCGACTGATCTGGGAACGTTCAACTATTCCGCAGCCCTCGTGAACGAGATTGAGGGGAACGTGACCGGCCTCTCGAGCATCTCCCTTAACGGCGCCAGCTGGATATCTGTCGACGAGTGTGGCATCCGGGCTCGGTTCGACCTTGTATTCAAGGGTCCTCAGGATCAATGCGACAGCGTCAGCCCGCAAATGGTCAATGAGCAGGAGCGTGGCCTTCGAGATGGAGATCTCGGAAGTCGAGGTCGTGCTAGAGATCCAAGAGTAAGTAGAATCATGAAGTCGTAGAGCGTAACGTAATTTTTGATAGGAACTTATAAAAAAATTTGGCACTATCCCACTTACCTTCAGAGTCAATGCATGTTTATGCGAAGCATGCGTAGGGAAGGTGACTGTGTTCTAATATGTTTACTGAGCGAAACGTTACAAAATAACGCTATAGATATGTACAGATACTGTACGCTCAGACATATGTTAAGCAGTCGCGTACGTTTTATATACCCAGTTGTTTACAGTTGCGTAACATGGGTGTTAACAACATGGGTATTAGCAGCACCAGAAGCAGTAAGCTGATATTATAGTGCCACTATACTGATATGTAGCGCTCATGATCGCGAGACTGGTAGCCGTGCACACTGCTATATAAATCAACTTCAGTGGATGGCGCTTAACTATACAACTGACGTTAACCCGACGCGACGGCCATATCATATAGTAGTACACGTGTCATGTTTCCAAAATAGGATAGCCAGCATGGCCATCAACATCAACGCTTCACGAAAAATTACTGTTAGTGCCTATAAGAAGATGACTTTCGAGAGCTGGCGTGGCTCTGTTCTAGAATACTTACTTGACGTGCAGTATGCTGGGGTAAGATTCCTGCTGGAACCCTAACATATTGAAACTGGCAATCACCTGTGGCACAAACCAGCCAACATGTGGCGCATACCCGCCACTGGAATACGGGTACGAGCCCCACGCGTCTGGCGGAAAGAGTTTGACGACGCAGGCAACGGGATTGTCACATTATTCACGTAATGACCAGCGAGCCATATTTCTCGAACCGATTTTCGTTTTCCCCAAGTTAAGGAGTGATAACGAAAGCACCAACTCGTAGGCGGCTATACAGACAGACAGACAGATAGATAGATAGATAGATAGATAGATAGATAGATAGATAGATAGATAGATAGATAGATAGATAGATAGATAGATAGATAGATAGATAGATAGATAGATAGATAGATAGATAGATTGATTGATAGATAGATAGATAGATAGATAGATAGATAGATAGATAGATAGATAGATAGATAGATAGATAGATAGATAGATAGATAGATAGATAGATAGATAGATAGATAGATAGATAGATAGATAGATAGATAGATAGATAGATAGATAGATAGATAAGATAGATAGATAGATAGATAGATAGATAGATAGATAGATAGATAGATAGATAGATAGATAGATAGATAGATAGATAGATAGATAGATAGATAGATATGGTAAAAGTGCTTGAAGTACGCAAAAAAAAACACTTGCATTTAAAACAGTGCGTGTGGCCTTGCTAAACGCAATGCCAAAAATGTGTCTTGCGTTTCTTCCAGAACTGAGGATTCGCTTCAAATTACTACCTATGACGTGACCTTTACCTCTAACGTCACGGTAACACCAACAATGGCGGGGACAGTTGGCTGGCTTGTTGACTTATTCGGCGGACTTTCCAATACAACCCTAGAGGACAACGATCTACAGCTAATCAAGTCGTCTTCGCGCAGATATGTTCAACGGATCGTCGACGCGGTTAAGAGTTTCATCGCCGATCCTCCGCCCATACCGACGGCGCGGCGCCGAGGGTGACCATCTGTGACACTTTATTGAATGTCATCGCTATAATAAAAAAAGACATGTTGGTGAAAAGTGTACGAACGTTTACCGCAATCAAGTGCGCATGCACAGCACGGCATGTGTTATCAAAGCATGTCTACTTCGACAAAAACGTATAGGCGCGTTCTGATTGATGGCAGGGCAAATGGCAACGACAACAAGAGAGAAATGACACGATGCTAACCACAGCAGCGAACATAGCCTTTTGTAAAATAAATCACGTTTACAAAGCAAACTGGGCAAATTGGTTGATATTCCTGTCTTCAGGCACCTCAAAATAAAGAAAGGGCAAACACGAAAGAACGACAAACACGGCGCTATCGAGCTTAGCGCTGCTCCAACTTGCCAATTTCGCTGCTCTGCTAAGTACGGGCAACTTTTCTTGCCATAGAAGCGAAGTCTACGAAGCCAAATTGCGTGTATACTACCGCTGATGAACGCAGTCCCACAATTATCTCCATACATAACATTGATATAAATATCCTCTTCTATTTTTCACGTGTAGCCCTTTTAGACAAAACGCAGCTCACACCAGTAAGATGTATTACATCGCTAATGACAAATAAACATTGCACATAACTGCAACACCGCTTTGTCACTCATTTACTCGCGGGGGTGCTGAACAGGTGATTTACGGTAACACCAAACGGTCCAACTGCTTCGCCCACTCGTCATTCATTTCATAGACCTAGCAGACAGACGACCGTCGAGAGAGAGAGAGAAAGCGCGTTTGGGGACACGTAGAAGTGGCACGTGGGAGTGGTGCGAGAAGCGCAGAGCCATCCAGTGGGCGCTCGAATACTAGCGACTGGCTACGACGTGACAACGGACAGGCCTCGACGTTAAGGAGCTTCGCTCCAAAAGAAAATTTGGTTGGGGGGAGCGGGGATGCGGGCCTGGAGTGCCACCCCCTGGCTACGCCACTGCAAGCCTAGGTTAGGGGGATGACGTATGCCCCGCATGCTAGCCGTACGTCATCTCCCTAATGCGTCATATGCGTCACCGGGCCCGGGTAGTTCTCAGGATATATTGCATATAATGTACCGAGAATCGGCAATGCCACATTCTGTAGCAGTCTAAACATAAGTGCCGGAGGTGATGTTCTGCCGGAAAATACAAGAGCGTACCACCTTTAAGTTGCTGCTTGCTCGAATATACGAATTACTCCAACAATTGGTATTTTTAAGCGAATATGCACACGCCGCTGCTGTATCCAGCGGACATTCCAAGGTCTGAACGAAAATGGCCACGGCCGGACTGGAGTGGCACGCACGCACTCTGTTGCCTGCGCTTCGTGTCAAGTTGCCACCTTTCACCGCCGCTAGTTCATGGCACTGTGGCCCAACACTCGCTTACCCCGCCGCGGTGGTCTAGTGGCTAAGGTACTCTGCTGCTGACCTGCAGCTCGCGGGTTCAAATCCCGGCTGCGGCGGCTGCATTTCCGATGGAGGCGGAAATGTTTTAGGCCCATGTGCTCAGATTTCGGTAAACGTTTAAGAACCTCAGGTGGTCGAAATTTCCGGAGTCCTCCACTACGGCATCTCTCATAATCATATGGTGGTTTTGGGCTGTTAAACCCCACATATCAATCAATCAATTAATCGATCAATCAACACCCACTGTTTAGATTAAGTGGTTAACGATTTAGAGTATATACTAGGTACTCTACTATGGGAGAGCATAAAGACGCTCTTGCTAAAACCAAGGAGGTTACGCCCAGCGAGTTAAACGTGGCAGCCTTTCTGGTCAGATAGTGCTCAAAGTGCGTCTTTCTGATACTAGTTTTTTTTTTTTTTTTAGTAAGCAGCAACTTCAAGGCAAATTTCATTGCACGTCAAGGCACCGATACACCTCTCTGTGGGTTATTCAATCAGAAACAACTATCTTTTTATTTATGATTAGTGTGCGTGGGTTTTCTCCTCAATTTAAATGAGCGCGCGCATGACGCTCCTCTTGTCCAGCTGTGGACGTGGCTACTACTACTACTACTACTACTACTACTACTACTACTACTGCTGCTGCTGCTGCTGCTGCTGCTGCTGCTGCTGCTGCTGCTGCTGCTGCTGCTGCTGCTGCTGCTGCTGCTGCTGCCACATACATCGCGGACGCACGACCCACGGCTTAAGGAGCTTCGCCCCTAAAAGTCGAGCTTCAAGCGCGTCGGAGCCACCGACCTCAGGTAGCGATCGCTTCAGGCGCTTGGCTGCAGCTTCCCTAGCCCGCACCGCCTCAGGATCCGCTTGCCGGCGCTTCCGTGCCGCCACCCGCTTCGCAGGCTTTCAGCTCCAGGTCCGCTTGTCTTTGCGCACACGTGGCTCCCGTTGCGCGAGCCCTCGCCACCTGTGGATCGGTAGCTTGTCGTTGTTGACGGCGAGCCCTTGCCGCTTCGGCTTCTATAGAGTTCCCACCTCCGAGACTTCACGGAGAGCCCTCGCTGCAACCATCTTGCGAGCCCTCCACTTAGCCACCTTGTCTTCTTGTTGGTAATATTGTTATCAAAGCGCACAAACTGACGACTGTCGAGAGAGAGAAAGCGCGTTCGGCGGCACGTAGAAGTGGCGCGTGGGAGTGGTGCGAGCACCGCAGAGCCATCCAGTGGGCGCTCGAATACTAGCGACTGGCTACGACGTGACAACGGACAAGCCTCGACATTAAGGAGCTTCGTCTTTAAAGAAAATTCGGTTGGAGGGAGCGGAGATGCGTGCCTGGAGTGCCACCCCCTGGCTACGCCACTGCAAGCCTTAGGGGGATCACGAATGCCCCGCATGCTAGCCATACGTCATCTCCCTAATAAGCCATGTGCGTCACCAGGCCCGGATAGTTCTCAGGCTATATTGCATGCAATGTACCGAGAATCGGCAATGTCACAGTCTGTAGCAATCTAAACGTAAGTGTCTGAGGTGATGTTCTGCCGAAAAATAACAGTGCGTATTACTTGTAAGTCGCTGCTTGCTCGAATATTCGAATTACTCCGACAATTGGTATTTTTAAGCGGATATGCACACGCCGCTGCCGTAGCCGAATATTCTGGAAGTACGAAAACACATCATTATTGAATTGAATAAGGTTTGCATAAGGAAAATATTCGATTCGTGTTTGGAATTGCAAATATTCACAAACTCTAAAAACGTCCCTACATAGGTTATTTTACAACTGAGTACCATGAAAATATTGTGGGTACAAAGTCAACGTTGTTTACATCCACGTGAAATGACCTGTTGATTAGCGCGAGCTTCGCTGGATGAACTCATATTTTTGATTCATCACTAGTCACAATCATCACTGTGACCTATAACTATTGGAAATTGACATACGCAGAGGTTCGACTGGAGCAATAGCAGCATAAACAAATTTCCGCCATGCAAAGTTTGGCTGGCAGAGCTAGCGGCGTCGATCAACACAAACGAAAGTAATTATTACCACATTACGCTGCAAATAACCCTCCCCCTCTTTCTCTTTAACCCCATATTTAAACGAGGCTCGTCTAGCAATAGCGTCATTGGTCCCATCCTGCAGGGAAATCGATACCACATGCACTGCAGGACATGCTATTTTTATTATTTCGCTTATATATATTAGTAGAGAAACTTTTACTTGAAATTCTACTCAGTAAAGCTGGCCAATATAATATATGTGTTTGATGCTTTGGTACTGAGTTTTGGCAGTGGCAGGTCGTTGCGTTAATCTGTCAAATTGGAGTCAAGCAAGAAAGTGTAAACGATTGACATTCCTGCTTTTCGAGATATTCTGACGGCAGTGACGAAGAATTCTTTTGTCGTTATTAGCAGAACCAGTGTTCTAACTTGTTTTTTATTAGAGGGAACCATTCACCTACTAGTCTGACTTCCAAACTGTTCAATACGTGATGTTCTGTATACTGATCTTTCAACGCTCAATTTTTATCAATATTCTGAGATTGCAACTTCAAGTTTGGCTCCCCAGTTCTTCTCGTATTCCCCACTGTGGGTATGTGCCATGCTGTAGCAATATCATCATCAACAAACATTCCAGCGTTCGCAGAAACAAAGAGAGAGAACAAAAGAGCAAACGGTGCCGCAATGAATCGGCCACGCCCTGCGCATTACAGCTTTTCGGCGCCGCAGCTCTCGTTCTGTGCGAAGGCGACGTCGAGCACCGTTTACCTGGCCTCCTCGCCCTCTTCGAGCTGCTCCCTCAACCTGAGCGACGTCGACGACAGCACGTTCTACGACTCCACGTACGTGTCGCAGCCGTTCCCGGCGACCTCGCGCGTCCCGTCCGAAACGTGTACCGAACGTCGCAGCAGCTGCTCCAGCACGATTCGAATCGGCCGCAAGAAGGACGAAGAGGCGTGCCTGGCGCACTTCGACGTGAGCCGCAGCGCGTCCAGGCATCCGTGGCGCGACGTGGCGCCGGGCGGCCGGGCGACCAAGCTGATCTGCACATCGGTGCTGGCCGTGTTCTGCTGCGTCCTCGTCTCGAGGCTTGTCATGGACAAGCTGTCGACGCTCCTAAACGCCACAGACGCGATCGGGGCCCTGGACTCGACTAACGAAACGGAGGTGGTGCTCGCGTTAGGGGACGCCGTGAGTGAAAGCCGGCCTTCGTCGTCAATGCAGCTGCCCATTAAGAAAGCGGTGCGACGAAACTACGCGGGAAAAACGAGAGCTGGCTTTCCTGGCATAAGTGGAGTGCCAGAACTGCGCTACAGAGCTCCTGCCGTACGCCGTTATCGCCCCGTCGCACGACCAGTGATGGCGATGAACAAGACGGCGACACTGCCTAGCGCTGCGACCGACAGGCGTTCCGGTGGTACGACCCGAATGTCGGAGACACAGCTGCGTAACACCACCGTCTTCGCGTCGACGGTCGAGCCAGAGCCTAGCCCACGTGCTTCCACACTCGATGGGAACTGGACACGCCTGATGCGCATCTTACGGGCATCGCCGCAGACAGTTGCGAGCGCATGGCTGAACGTCATAAAATCGGCGACGGTACGACGCTCCCCGTATGTCGTGTACATCGACGGTACCGTGAAACCGACTTCGTTGTTGTC